AATCTAAGCTCTTAGTAACAATTTTTTTATTCTTTATGCTGTTTATAATATCTACTAGAAATAATATATGTCATACTAATGAGATTCTTAATTACACACAGATGACAAACTTTAGGCACCAACTGCTATAATGAACGTACAACCTTGTAAAAGTAGGCTAACGGTAAACACTGATGCTAAAACTTTTAATTATTATTATAAACAGTGGGTTGGGCGTTGCCTTGCGGCTAGCTTGCAGGTTTAAGGATTAAAAAAGTTCTAAGTTCGACCAATGATATACCGGCTCAACACTTTCAAACTCAGCTGTTGTCATGTTATGAATCCAACAACCATTCCCACTATTCAGTAAAAGTAGCCTACAGGCAGTGACTGCTATTGACTATAGTTATCTTTATCCTGGTTCTCCGACCTGACTATTTAATCATATGATGTTGCTCAGCTTAAAGGTGCTAGAAAATATCAAAATTTAAATATTTCCATCTAACAAAGTGTAATGTTTATTCAAATTCATGTTCTACTGTGGATTAATATTAGCATATTTTCTATTCAAGTACGGCTGGAACAAAAAAAATGTGACTTTTTTGAATAAAAGATGGCAAAAATGTTATCAAAATACATTGTAGTGTAAAGCGAAGTAAAGTGCCAGAAAAGGAACAATTCTGTTTTTACATTCATGGACAAAAACGGACCACTTATGTGTGCGAGAAACTATGAACACTCGTATCGTGCATGCAGTGATTGCAAGAATAAAACAGTAATTTTGTAAATAATGGTAACAACATTTCTGAACATCTTTAATCACGCTAAGAAAGAGGTCCTGTGAGCTCCTTACCTTCCTAGGTCTTATTACCAAAACCACGTCAATAATCATACATAAGGTTATGGTTAACGGGATCAAATGTGGCACAAGTGCTCAGATAATACTGAAATACTTCCTGTCGACAATACAAAAATTTTAGAATATGTTACAATTTTCAAGAAAATCTAAATTTAATTTTTTTATTTCTAAGTCTTTCAGTATATCCTTTAGATTTTTGTGAAAGAAAATATAACTATTTTTCCTCATAGTTAAGATTTTAAATGTAGATGCGTTTTTAGAAAGCTTAAAACCCAAAAGATTAACTCCTATACATATGAAACATTCTATCGTCATTGTTACTGTTTTAATCTCTTCTGTGTCAGCCTTTTTTTTTCTCTAAATGAGCTTTAAAAAGTCCGTTTTGTTTTCATTTTTGATAGCCCACACTTATGTATTAATGAAACAAAAATTATTTGATAATACGTTATTATATTTCTGTACAAAACTTACTCGATAAATAAGTGTTATGTACCTGGGTTTATATGTGATATGTATTATTTTAGTGAAACTACCGAAAAGAGGAGGAGTGTTTTTCGTTTTTTTTTTCTGTTTTTGTTTTTGTAATCAAGCACAAAGCTACAAAAGGGGATATCTGTGGTAATTTTTATAAGCCTTCAAACTTACTGCTGTGCCACCGCGGGCATTCCGTTTTCTTATAGAAAAGATGTTCACGACAAAACCGCGAGCTCGTGAATGATTGTGTATTAGGGAGTTGTTCTACCTTTAGGTAACTTTACATATATTAGAGGCTTTAGTTTTTAATTTAGGACTGATGTAATTAAAATTTTATCATTATTAAAATTAGTATGGCATGTTAATTTAAATGGTGCATATGACTAAATTATATTAAGTTTTTATGTTCTATTAATTTTGATAAATCCTTAGGTCGAGCTTCTGGTTTTTGTGTTCATAAGAGTGGACAAAATCCTATAAAATGTTTTTTTATTAATTTCAATTGTATTAGTTTCTTTAACTTACAGGAACTATGGAATAGCATGATAATATTTAGTCCGGTTTTCTGAAAAACCTGGGGGTTGGCATGATCTATTGGTTAAGGCGATCGACTTGCAACCTGATGGTCAGTGAACATGCTCGCCCGTTCAGCCGTGAAGAAGTTGTTAATGTACAGTAGTTCAAACGTTGACGGTGGGTGGTGTTGACTAGCTGCTAAATTGGGAATGGCTAGCGCAGATAGCCAGCTTTGCGCGAAATTAAGAAATCAAACTGAAATACATTACAACTGTTTTAGAACATCTTTTGGTTAAGACTTCAGCTACAGATATATTTCTCAGAAATCTAGAACAAATCAGAAAAAATAAAATAAACAGTCAAGGGCATTCATCGTCCTTATGGCTACTTTTACCGAGGAATGGATTGACTGCTAATTTTACAACGTGTAAACAGTTGAAAGTGCTGAGTGTTCAGCGGCACATGGCAGCTCACATATTTGACCTTTTAACCCCACAGCCTTGAATGCTAACCAGTAAACCGCGCCTAGCCCACTGTTTATAACAGTAATTGAAGTTTCAACATTGATGTTTATCATAAACCTGCTTTTACAGGAGTAGATACACACTCTTTGGTACCCTGTGTTTTTCATTTGAAATTAATCAAAATTTTACTGACAGGAGATAAAATTAATAGTAGTTCTGAATAGTTTAGTAAAAAGGCATAAAGTATCAAATTTATTTTACAAAATAATACAATTTCTATATTTATTACCAAGGAATGTATATAAGATGAACGCAAAATACCTCGTATTCCACAAATTAATGTTAAAAAGAAATTAATTACTTCAGTATTACTTATACTAGATAACGTACGATCAAATTTAAGATAAAACTAATGAAATCAATTGGACGTATGTTTTCATACGTAGATTTAAGATACATTTTTTAAACCACGACCAATAATTAAACATTTTGTACCGAAAAGTTCCCCTCATGAAGAAACATTCCTCCCTTCTCCCTTTCATTAATATCAATGCAATCCATAGTTGAGTGTATGGCATTTGAGAAACTATACCATCAAGATTAATTTATCAATATCCTCCCTGGTGACAAATATAGAGGTCATTGTGATGATATGTCGAATAGAGAAAAATATGGCAAGGCCTCCAGTTGTGTGGTGAATAGCATGACCTCAGAAAGAGTGGATTGATGACTCACAAGAAGAGCTAATTCAGCAAGAAGAGTCTATCAACAATTTCCCTTTCCTCACCATGAGTTTACAAAGATGTTTCGTGTAGGCAGATACAACTGGGAACAGTAAAATAAACACAGTTTAACTTAACATTTTTTTAAAAGAAACAAATCTACAATTACAGTGAAAAAACTAGATCTATGTGGTAAATTTTTCGTTAGCTTAGTTTGTGCACAACATTTCGGTATCGTTTTTTTCTCCTTTTTTACTTTAATTAACTGATCAAACGTTATATGGGAAACCTGGAACGTTGATGCGCTATCCGTCCCTAATTTAGCAGTGTAAGACTAGAGGGAAGGCAGCAAGTCATCATCACCCACCGCCAACTCTTGGGCTACTATTTTACCAACGAATAGCGGGATTGCCCGTCACTTTATAACGCCCCCACGGCTGAAAGGGGCGAGCATGTTTGGTGTGCGGGGATAGTGCTACGATACTGTATTCAAATGCACGCATTTCTTCATCGAACTTATTATCCTAACAGAAAGTTTCTCTGTTTCTTTTACAACTGGTGGTTACGAATCCAAGTACAACTTCAAGCAAAGGTACAACAAGCGGCTATGAACCAAAATACCACTTCAAGAAGCAAAAATATGAAGATTATTATAAAATCACAGAATTTTATCAACCATGTCAGATTTTGGTTTCTTGCTAAAATTAACGCAACCATCATCTATTATTTGTAATACTTTGTAACTATGATGTATACTACTTTTGAAAGTCTTCTAGTAACTATTATTAATATTACTTTTAAAATTGATCTAATAACTATTATTTATATTATTTTTAAAAGTGTTCTAGTAACCATTATTTATATTACTTAAAAAGTGTTCTAGTAACCATTAATTATTTTACTTTTAAAAGAGAAAATGAAAGAAATTGTTCACGATTATGTTAATATTATAAAACAAAAACTATAATAAAATTAAATCTAAGTTTTACGAGGTAAACGTGAACCTGAAAGCTTTTTTATTTATTGTAAGTTTTGCTTTGCCTTAACTTTGGTTTTAATTGAAGACTTGGAAACTGTTTGATTACAAGTAATTGTAAGCATACAATGTAAAATATGCACTTTTGATAATGTAGAAATAAATTTTCTTTCTTAGGTTTTAACGAACAGGGCCAATAAGTAAAAAAAAATGCATTCTTATGTTGTTTTATTTACCGCTGTCTTATTGATTTCCTTAATACTTTTCATGTGTTAAGATTTCTGTTTATAAACACGTCTCTCACGTTTTAATCTAAGTTAAAAACCTTTAATTCAACTGATTAGAACACTTTTAAAAGTAATATGAATAATAGTTACTAGAAGACTTTCAAAAAGTAGTATACATCATAGTTACTAGAACACTTTTAAAAGTAATATGAATAATAGTTACTAGAAGACTTTCAAAAAGTAGTATACATCATAGTTACTAGAACACTTTTAAAAGTAATATGAATAATAGTTACTAGAAGACTTTCAAAAGTAGTATACATCATAGTTACTAGAACATTTTTAAAAGTAATATAAATAATAGTTACTAGATCACTTTTAAAGTAATATAAATAATAATTACTAGAACACTTTGTTAAGCTCAGTTTAATTTTATTCAGGTAACCTTTCATAATCTGTATACCTCGCACGTAAAACTCTCCACATTCATTTGCACCAAGAGTTGCACCGGTTGTGACGTCTATCACCTGTAACCGAGAACAATAACTGTACATTTCTGTACCATATTCTAGTTTCTTTCTTTAAACCTTGTTTAACCAATAATAACATTTAGTAAGATGTTCCATATTACTATGAATGGTAATGTTGTTCTTCAGAAAAATAGATAATGATATAAATATTTAATACTATGTGTCATAATAATATATAGATATATATGTAAAGCTATTGTCAGTATTGCGAGCAATATAGTTGGATGGTGAAAATAAATACTTTTGAGCAGAATGTCACTCGATGTCTCAGTGGTACATCTCTAGGCTTATGACATAAAACATCGGGTTTCCACACCCACGATGGTCTGACCACAGATAGGATAATGGACACCAACAAAGAAATAAATCTTGAACAAATTTTAGATATTAGTTTTAATTACATACGTGTAAATATTTTAATACATTATTTGTTTTTATTCTTCTCGTTGAACATAGAAAGCCAGAAATTTCATTCAGAAAATATTAAAAGTTAAAATACATTTGTGAAACAAAAACTTTGCCTACTATCTAATAAAAAGTAATCAAAGGAACACGATATTGAACGATTATTGTTTTATAATAATTATTAAAATTTCCAGTCCTTCTGCTTATAAAATATTGGTCTTTCAGTTTGTTAAGAAAATTTCATCTTGAAGCAAAATATTTGGGAGGACAGGAACATTTTGTCCTAGAATTTTATCAAAAACGTAGATAGATTTACCTGTCACACACCAACCGTCAGCAGTGATTGTTTTTGACGTCATTTTCAAAGAACTGTTACTATACATGTACAATTTATAAAAATATACTTGTATAGTAACAGTTCAAAAATATAATTGTATAGTAACAGTTCAATAATATACTTGTATAGTAACAGTTCAATAATATACTTGTATAGTAACAGTTCAATAATATACTTGTATAGTAACAGTTCAATAATATACTTGTATAGTAACAGTTCAATAATATACTTGTATAGTAACAGTTCAATAATATACTTGTATATAACAGTTCAAAAATATACTTGTATAGTAACAGTTCAATAATATACTTGTATAGTAACAGTTTAATAATATACTTGTATAATAAAAGTTCAATAATATACTTTCAGAAAGTATCTAAAACATGCGATAAATATATTCTTGACTTTCTTGTGACTGAACAATGACTGAAAAAGAACAATACATCTCTTCATGACCACAACAAAGGATTCTGTGTAAATGTTGGTTTTGTCTGTATTGGTAAAGCTAAACTGAATTTTAAAGTGATCTTCGTTTATTTTAAATGACTTAAGCAAATTCTAGTTGGCTAAGTTAAGATGTTACCACCTCCCACGTGCACCCACATATACGTTATGATGTCCTTGCTGTAAGCTTGTGAGCTTATAACACTAAAAATCGATGTTCTATACCCGGGTTGTTCACAGCACGGATAGCCCACTGTGTAGCTTTGTTTGTATTTATCTAAAAGCACTGCACTTTTTAATACAAATTCCTTATCTTAATTACTATACGGAAACAAGGTGTATTTATAAGACATTCAACAAAGATAAACAATAATTATATTAAGTATTACTTTTGTTCTTATATTCTAAAATACCTGTTATAATTAGATGTTAAACGGATAAGCCTTATTTGCCAAAAGATGGTGTAGTAAATATAAGTGTATGTCTACAATAGGAGACTACGGATATTATGACTCGGATGGAAACCTGTATATTACTGACAGAATAAAAGAAATGATCAAGACGGAATTCCACCAAGTTTCTCCAACAGAAATTGAGTCATTGTTGTGCAGTCATCCTGCTGTTGATGACGCTGCTGTAATTGGAATAGTGGATTCTTCCTTGGAGGAAGTTCCACGTGGCTATGTAGTGTTGAAACAAGGTTGTAAAGTGGAGCTAGCAGAACTTATTCAGTTCGTGTCAGGTATAGTCTAAGTTATTAATTTTTATGGTCTAAGTTGAACTCTTTCGGTAATTTGTACTTATGTAATATACAGTATCTCAGGAGTGGCGTTTAGTTGTATAATAAAAGAGAAACGTATTTAATAATATAAATTAGAATATACAGCTAGTAAAACAACTGAATGTTTGATCATCATCACATTTGCTACGAATCCTCCATTCTTATAAATCATAGTACATTACTGATCGATTTTCTCAGACAATCAAACATAAAATAACACAGTTAATATATCCTACAGTTAAACATGTTCATATTATTTGGCAACACCTTACTTTTCTTTTCTTATTTTGTTCGTAAAATGGAACATATTTCAGCACGAAAGCAAACTATATTTTAAATCCATATTATCTATCTAGCAAAAAACAAAACATTGGGTTTTGTTATCTATAAAATTGCAAGACGAGATTTTATTTCGATAAATTATTGAAAACATTGAGAATCTTTGTAGGGTTAAAGGCCAGACATCGGGTTTTAATTATTCGATACGTACCTATGAACACCTAAAAACTTCATTGCCTATTTTTATCATTATGTATGAAAACATACTTTTCTTCTTTATATTCGATGAGAACATACACAACTATTCTGTAACTCGACTCCTACACTCATCTTTGTACATTCGATGAAAGATTAATCCCATATTCTACAAATTGACTCCTACACTCTTCTGTTGTACATTCGAGCGTGGCAATCAATCTCATTAAGATTTCTAATTAATTTTTTTTTACAGGTTACTTCTTATGATACATTTTATTCTGGTCACTACTTAATTGTTTTTACAGGATAATACTTATGATACATTTTATTCTGGTTACTAATTAATTTTTTTTACAGGTTAATTCTTATGATACATTTTATTCTGGTCACTAATTAATTATTTTTTACAGGTTAATTCTTAGGATACATTTTATTCTGCTTACTAATTAATTGTTTTTACAGGTTACTTCTTATGATACATTTTATTCTGGTCATTGTCTCGAGTAGTAAACTTTTCCCAATCTCTAAATTTAAAATTCATATAACTTAAGTACTGTGTAATTTATTGTAATGTATACCATGTAAGCTTACATGAAGTAAGAAAACTCAAACCTTTACTGCTTATAAAGTGAAGTATTGTGCAATATTAGCCACGGTTAACTTTGTAATAAAAGTGTCATCCGACTGAAGTTTCTGTGATTTTAAACAAAGCTTTTTCATTGTTTTGTTTTTATAAAGTCACTTTTATGGCAAACAAACGCATGTGGTTTCCTAGTGCTCCAGTTAACCAGTTGATAATTATAACAAAGCCTATCTCTTATCCAGATATTAACTGATATAACACCCACTCCTTAACAAACTGTTAACTGAAAAAAAAATCTATTTTCAAGCAGCTGTTAACTGCAGTGAAACTCATTCGTTACCCAGTATTAACTGCTATGACACCCAATTATTTTCCTTTAGCTTTTGTTGAAGACACTGGGTATCAAATGTAATAAGATTTTAATAATGTGATAAATTAATATCCTTGCAAAATGTATAAGCAAATAACTATTTTATTAATTGATTGAAGTACATTTTTTTTTCTTTCTTAGATCGTGTATCGCATTACAAACGCCTCAGAGGAGGACTGGAAGTCTTGGACCAAATTCCTCGATCTCAAATGGGAAAAATCCAACGTAAATTATTACAGGAACGTTACTACCAAACCTATAAATAAATAAATAACTCCTGGGATTGTCGTCTTCAAAAATTTTGTCTCCTATTCCATCAATGACAATGTTGAAAACTAGCGATTAATATTTTGGTTTGCCGATTGAGCTACAATATTCACAATATCGTTTTTTGTTATAATTTCGTTTTTGTTCTTTTGTTTTCTACGTAAAATTAAATGTATAATTTTACGTATAAAACAAAAGAATAAAAACGAAATTTCTCCAACGTACTTACTGAATATCCTCGTTTAGCTTCTTAGAAATCAATATAAACGCTGTTCTTGATCTAAGTAATGTTAATGCTATAATAATGTTAAATCATAATATTTCTACAGATATAAAATAAATTTAGGCGTAATGTTCTCTCGGACATTCCATAATCACAATAATATAAAAGCATTTTCTATGTCTAAGATATTTGGTGATCATATCGTCATATGTCACCTGCACTTTACTTCATATATTTCGCAATCAGATCAATTATAATACCTTCATGTTGGTTCAGATATTTGACAATCAGATCGACATGTAATAGCTATACTTTTATTGGGATATTTTGTGAATCAGAACAACATATATTACCTGCAATTTGATTCAAATGTGTAGTAATTAGATCGACATAATAAAGACTTTACTTTGTTTCAGATGTTTTTTGTGAGATCAATATGTATTATCTGCATTTTGGTTCAGATATCTTACAATCAGATCAATATGTAATTTTAACACTCTTATTCAGGTATTAGGTCATAAAGTCAACATATAATACATTTGAAGTAATATATCTAAATATTTAAGTGAAAAACAAAAGAACAACAACATAAAAAGTAATACCGCCATCGTAATTACTGAATATCATCATTTGATTTCTACGAAATCTGGAAAATTATATTAAAACCTAAAAACGTGTAATACTAATGCAATATTTGTTAATCATATATAATTGGATACATGTCGTTCCCTTTTCATTTTCATTTTATGTCTGATGTGTTCGGGTTTTCTTTTTCTGCTTTCTAAGAGTAAGCTCTTATTTGATGATCGTAATATTTGTAGCAATACAAAAATATTTCATGGATACAGTTGTTTCGGAAATTCTAGATTTAGCCTAATATAAAGACGTATCCACTGGTTCAGCAATTTGATACTCAGATTGATATGTAATACCTGCATTTGGAGTAAAATATCTGGTAAACAGATCAACACATAGAACCTTTCTTTACAAGTTACAGCTTTAACAGTAAGGAGTATTTTTAAACAGTTGCGACGTTTCGATCGCTAATGCTTGTTGCCTGTTTTAAAATTATTCTTCCTTAATATAGAAGATCTAGCCGTGACTAGGATATTCTGGTGTTCATTGATCTCAGTCTGGTGTTCATTCAAATTATATCACAATACTAATGTCTGGCATTCAATAGTATTTTGAGTTAACTTACGCGTACTTAGGCTTTATTATCCTTAAATTACATTTCTACAGTAATAGTTTTATCTATATTATGCAGAGGGTTGAGAGACTTAAATAAACACAGTTGAGATTATGAAACTTAGTAAACCAATATACAAATCGTGATGGAATAGCATGTACTAAAACTATATCGATACAGTAAGGCGTTTAGTAGGTCCAGAAGATGTGTTCAGATAGGAGTTTTAGAATTTTCTAGAAGAGATAGTTCATGTACTCAACGTAATTAGAAAACAAAAGAAAACAGATTAGACTTCACGTGTTCTTTTATAAGGTGTTCTAAACGACCTCTCTTTGTTCTCACATAATCTCTTCCATATCGAGAAGAAACATAAACAAACAACATAGGAGCTTTTAAGCAAGTTAATTGTGTCCTTAATATTAAAAAGGTTTTTATTTCTAAATACCGATTTTAAGGCTATACACATTCAAATTCGTGTATAGTTTCAATTCGAGAAATTGTTTATTTTACTTTTCAAGTTATATCTGTCTTTACCTATAAACTGAAGTCTGACATAAAGTGATAGTTTGTGTAGAACAACGAAAAATAAATCACTTTAGGATGAGTGGATACTCCATTTAAGAGACGTTTTTAAATGTTATCAGGCCCGGCATGGCCAGGTGGTTAGGTCGCTCGACTTGCAATCTGCGGGTTCGAATCCCCGTCCCACCAAACATGACGTGACGGTCAATCCCACTATTCGTTGGTAAAAGAGTAGCCCAAGAGTTGGCGGTGGGTGGTGATAACTAGCAGCCTTCCCTCTAGTCTTACACTGCTAAATTAGGGACGGCTACCGCAGATAGCCCTCGTGTAGCTTTGCGCGAAATTCAAAAACAAACAAACGTTTGGGTTTACTTTCTTTTAGTAACGAGCTTTAAAATCTCTTACTGTTTCATTTTAAATAATACATGAAAATATGTTTACACTAAATTTCTAACCATTTTGCTTGAACTAAATATAGAAAATCTGAATATTCTGATTTTGATGTATGCTACTTCAATATTGAAGTGATGAAGAGTGGCAAGCAATAATATATTATAAATAAGACTGATAACAATTTAAAAGGATATTCATTAATTCACGAATTGAATGTATCGAAAGATTCAAAAGCATAAACATACCAAACTGTTATTAATTTTAACTCCTTCCTAAACCACTAGTTTAGTTTAAAACATGGTAGTAATTTAGCGTTAAACCAAAGACCCTAACCTAGGGTTCGAGATTTGGATACCAGGGTGGTCAGAAAGAAATTTCTCTTCATCCTACTCGTGAAATATGTTTGAATAGACAGACATGGTTGGAAGAAAAATTATAGCAAGCAAAAACCGAAGAGGAAACCGCAGACGCTAACACTGTATTTTATATTTACATTTTAACATTTACCCAACGGCCAATGTTGGACTTATGGTCCTTCAGAGCGGCGGGAGATCTATAAATCCGTTTTATAGCAACGTGAAGAAGGGGGGAAAGGGTGGTCTGTCAGGAGGGCTACCATGCTAAAAAATCCGTCATGGTGAATATACACGACTGAAGGAGGTGAGTGGATCTGGGAATGAGTCTTCATCTTCACTGATTGAGAGGAGAATGGAGTTTGTCGGTGTGGGTGCTCGGCGATGGGGAAGATTCAGTGAAAGTGTATATCCTTAAAGCATAGGTGGGATAGACGGCGAATCGTAGGCAGACGGCTTGGGTTGGAAGGACGGAGTCGTTTGAGAGACCTAGGTGGCTGGGTGTTATCGTTGGTGGGTTCGGTAGGCGGCAGGTAGCTATTTTCTTCCTGAATGGTTTTGTTTGTACAGACTGGGTGGTTGTAGTATTACTGTCTGTCATGGTAGAGACATCTCGAGTATTAGACGAAAATGATTGAGTGCTCTGGTCATTGGCTGGAGCTGAATTCCGAATTTGAGTTGATTGGTGAACAGATGAAGGGGTGGTGCGTGTGATTGTTTCGTGATGTGCTGTTCGGCGATCGGTACGTGAATAGCGGGGCTTGGAACAGGGAGGTTTTTCTATGTAGTTTTTCTGTTCTGTAGTGACATAAGCGGTAGAAAACACCATGAGTAAGACTATAATTTGAAACTTGCTGAGATGTTGTTGTTATTTCGATGAAATGAGATATCTTCCCGGTAGTTCTTGATTTAATTGAACGGGCTGCACGAAGTTGCATATTTAGTTTCTGTTCGACGGATTTTCTGATGGTTTATAAAGGGATCGACACCCCCCCCCCAGTAGCACAGCGGTATGTCTGCGGACTTACAACGCTAGAATCCGGGATTAGATACCCGTGGAGGGCAGAGCTATGTGTAGCTTTGTGCTTAACTTAAAAGCAACAGACTCCTCTTAGAAACTTGGTGAATAGATTACAGCTGCTGAGGGGTATGCTGCATGAAACTGGTGGACTGGTGTTCCATAGGCTACAGAGGTATTTTAGGGTGTTATTGGAAATGGGTTGGAGAAAACTTCCGCCCAGTCTTAGGATTCTGGTCTTGATTTCCGCCTGGGTTTGTAGCGATCGATGACTTCACGCGGCGAGAAGGCTAGGGGTAGCCCGTCTAGAATTACGGAAGGAATGGGCGTGGTTATCGTAGGCGTTCTACTGGTTCTGGGGGAAAGCATAATAAGGGTTGAAACGTTGTAATTATGAAAATAAAACTTGTTGTAAAAGCTGCTGCTATTGTATTTTAAATCAATTACGTTGTGATGTGTGGTTTTAAATACTACTCTGGTATTCAGTAGTGTAAAGCTCCCTGCGATGATAAATACATTCCTGAAACGTGATTTACTTCTGTTAGTGTTTTTATTGAACATACTTTGTGTTATTTCTTATTTTAGTGTTCTCAGGATTTATTCCGCATCTAATTACATCTGAATCGTGTATGTTTTTAGAATTTTTTTTTAATGAGAAAACTCACTTATATGAGACTGTAACAATTCCTTACACTTGACTATATTAGTGTAAAATAGTTTGTTAATAAATATTGTCAGTTTTACAACGCATAATGTTTTAAAAATTCCTTGTACTTTTTAAGTAGTTTATTTATTTTATACCCTTCAGCTCGTTAACTCAGTACGAGAGATAATTTAATAGTTTGACTAATAATCATTCACCTAATTAGTTCTCAATTTTTATTACAACACTGGTTTCAAATGACCCTCTTTTATGATCCTATAATCATAATATGGAAGGTGTAATTTTTAGTAATTATTCAAGGAAGCAAAACAAGACCTCTTGCGCCATCCCTTATTTATTTTTTCTTCAAAAAATTTTAGTGTTTGCGCTTCATTGGACTTTATCAGTGACATCTGTCGTTTAATCAATAGTTGTATGACTCTATCCAGACTTTTACACATTGTAGAATGCGAAGTGAAATTCGATATCAAATTAAAATCGATCAGTCTACAGTTCAACGTTTCTAAATTTTAGCGTATGTCCTGTTCTTCATACAAGCTAGCATAACATTCACAAAATTTTTCTTTGTAGCATATTTTACAGTTAGAAAATTAACATTATTCTCATTTACCTACTTAAAGTTATAATATGGCTATAGCGCAGAATATGATACAAAATCACCTTTCATACAGCCGTGTTCAGATTAGCAGGTAGCATTTTTAATAGTTATTATCAGTAATGCATTTGTTTTTTGTTAGATATAAATTTCACCGAATTTGAAAGAAAAATATATATCGAGATGACCTACATTTATTTTAAAATAACGAGTCTTCAACTTCTAACTGTAACTTGTATTTCCACTTAAAATTAAACAATGAAATCCTTTCTTCTGAAGAGACATTTATAACAAAGATCAGGAAATAGGGGATACTGAATAATGGTTGGCTAGGAAGTCATCTATCTCCATCCATCTATCCTTGGCAGTAATTTTCTGATATAAAATATTTCAGGTCTCAAAGAGGACTGAAAGGTAATCAGAGGCGCTCAGAAGCAGTTGTTTCCCTTCAGCCCCGCACGCGAAATTAAGGTTATAGTACATAGAGGAAAAATAGTGGCATAACGGATGATATGATACACACCGATTTTTTAAAATTAATTATTTTATCAGCTATTACTGACTAAAGCGGGGAGGATAAATGACTAATTCTTGTGAAGCATCCGAGAAAAACCATGCATTTGGAGAAAAGCGAAGGAAGAGAAGAGACAGAGAGCTTATATTGAGTGTAGCT